CCTCAGTTGTTAGTTCTTCTTCAGACGGATGACCGGGAGCGTTATCAAGAAGCAACAACGCTTTTTGAGGAAAATTATGATCTTTTAACCATTTTCTAACTTCAGGTACGAAGCATTTATCAAACCACTTTTTGAAAAGGTCTTTTGTCATCCATGCACTTTTTTGTCCGTAATAGTGTACAGGTAAATCACTGATTTTGAATGCCCGTGGTTTATTAGATTTCCCAATGACCATCATCTTAAGCGCGTGTGTGCCCGCAGCGTTAGCACATGGTAGTATGGTTACACGCTCTTTACTCACTTTTCGTCCAGGTACGGATTTTTCGTTACAAGAAACGAAAGTTTTGTTACGCATCACACGCCAAAAAAGCCCTGATTTGTCTGCATTGTACACTTTGCAAAAATCTTAATCTAAAGGGTTCTATGCAGGTGGCATCGTTAGAAAGTTTCTCTCCTGTAAGAGTCATTAAAAGTATGCCATGACGACTTTTAAAACGTTCTAGCCATCCTTTGCTGACCACAAAATCATCTTTTTTTGTTATTTCCTTATAAAAAAACTTAGCTTTCATGGCCAACATGGGTCCTGAAACTGGTGCATGCCTATTTATTTCCTGAAGAAACCACATCTACAAAGCTTCTTCCACTTCTGGATGTTCAGCTTTCTTGAGTGTCTGTCTCTTGCCTGGCCCGCAGTCAGTAGTTGACACGAACTTCTTGATCTTCTCGTGGTTTCTTTTAATGTCATAAATTGTAGATCGGCCTACGCAGTATTCACTTGCTAAACTACTGAATGTTTCATTGCGATTTAAGCGGTCTAAAATATCACATTTTTCTTTAATTGTCAATGTTTTGTGCTTTCGCTTCTGAGTTTGTGATGACATTACTAGGTACTATACTTAATACACAATGAATAAATAGTAAACAATGAACGCACGCTAGGCCGTACCGCTATCACAGGTAGTCAAATCGAAACTAAGTAAAACAATGCTTACAAGTCGAGCACGATAGTGGTGGCGCGTACAAGTTGTAACCTTTTCAAACCTGCGTGATCTACATTAGCGAAGATTGTCAAATACGTATGTATGTAATACATATTCAAAGACATGTCGGTTTACAGGGGGCGCCGTATTAGACAGAGGCCGGATTATCGGGGGTCCACTGTATTCAGAGTAATGCACTATACCCCATTCGTAGTCCATTTATGCCCAGACAAAACACAACATGCCCAAAAGCGAGATTGCACAGGTCCGTATTTTCCTCAATGGTGTTGGAATAATCTAACAATATAAAAGATTATTTTCATAGAAAGAAGTGCACATACTTTTTACAATTTTTTATTCGCTGGAAGTACTTGAATCACCATCCGAATAGTTAATATTAATTATTACAGGTTCAATTTGAATATCGATCATATTGTTCAGATCCCACATCTTTGTTTCCAATGGTTTTGTTGACAGCTTCATAAAACAAATTTTTCACGTAAGAAAATTTGAATGTTCTATTATAAGCCACATAGTTTTTTATATTTGCCCAAATCATTTCAATGGGATTTAATTCGCAATTCGTTAAAACGGTCCAAATTTTGTTTTTGGCCATTTCGTCAATAACATTAAGGTTATATTTGTGCTGCCTGACAAGGTGGATGAGCTCTGCTTTGGCCATATTTTCATTTAAACTAATGTCTTTTGATAAGAGCCACTGTTGAATGTCTGCCTTTCTTTTGGACATTGTGAGAATTTTTTGACGGCATTGTCGACAAGCTTTGGGAGCGTTTCTTCAAACCATCGTTCAAATAAACTCTTGCATTGCATTGCTTCATTAGTCGGTTGTTTTCTTGGACTCAAATGCCCATAGGGCAGTGGGCACAAAGCCATCTTCACTGCCAATGTGACAGATAACAAATCGTCTTCGTTTTCCTGAAAATAATTACTTCATATAGCATTCAAGAAAACTAATAATAATACAAGCAGAGTATCTAACAGGTGTTGTTCCAAATCGACCAGAGTGTAGCTAACTTTTCAGCGTGGGCTCATAGATTAAGTCTACTTGACAGCATTTTTACACAAATGACGAATTGGTTAGATACACGTACCTGACGGATTCTTTAGGCCAGTGGTTAATCCATTTAAGAAGGCTTGTCTTGCTGATTTAATTGTCGAAAATTGTCTTAGGACGTAATCCTGTTTTGATCGCCACACTCTTATAAACGCTAAGGACAATTTCTTTTGCCTGAATATTCAAATGTCCCTTCTGGTCACGTTTTCAAGAAGGGGACATCACTGACGAGGAAGCACGGCTGAAGGGAGCATTAGGAGGAATGTTCTCAGTTTCATCTGCTGTATCCGTAGATGACATGCTAAAGTATAAACACACGCTATATATGCACCGAATATGAACAGCAACTGCCGGCGTCGGCGTGCCGGCGATACCCCGAGCCTGAGTTCTATCCTGTTGAATCCCGCACTTGTTCGTATTTTTATAGACGAATGACCAATAGCTACTGCAGCTGCCGCTTTGCCACGCTGCATCTTTGTTGTGCCGTGGCGTAAATGGACTACGAATAGGGTATAGTTACTCTGGCAATTAATGCAATGAATTTAAAATGTGTAATCACAATATATAGTACGTTAAGTATCTCACAGCCTAGCCTGTGTGGCATATCTCAAAATGCATGCTTAGAGTAATTATATGTAAAGTTGTCCATTGATTTATCATTCATTTTAAGGGATTTTCGTAAACACCTTTACCTATATTATTTGAGGTATACGATAGCTACTCTCATGATCAGAGCTTATTATTCCTCTGCAAAAGATTAGATTCGCGTTTTTCGGGCATTTCGAAAACTACCAAGTGATAATAAATTACCCAAATTGTAATAAATCTAAGCCGATAACTGTGACTTATGTAGTAGTAGTAGTCCTTTATTTAGAAAAAAAATCCTAATTTCAACAACAACAACAACAACAACTGGTAGCATTACAGCATTTCACAAGTACATACATATATATTCAAATATAATAACAAATTCTGTCAGATCTTATGTGTTTGATAAGTGCTTTCTTGAAATACTCGACTGAGTCCGCGTTTTTTATTTGCTGGGGCAACTTATTGTATTCACATAGACCAGAGTTCCCCAAACTTTTTTGTGTCGTAGACCCCTTGCCATGTTTTTCCGTGTTGGGTAGACCCCCTACTTACCTGATATTGATTTCCTGTAAATTTCCAACTGTAGTGAAGTTTAGTGTTAAAAACTTAAAGTAAAAACACATGTTAATTTATACATTTATTAATTGAATTTAAATTAAAACTACTCAAAATAAAATTTTGTATCTGTTATGTAAAATATTCGTAACACTAAATAAACAGGTGTCTGACCAATAAGTGCCCGCATTGGGAATAAGGGCCCGCATTGAAAAAAAAAAATAAGAGGGATAAAATAAAAAAAAAGTGAAAAATAATAAAAAAAGTTTTTTACTTAAAATAGTACAATAAGCGAGTTCGTTTATTAATTATAACATAAACGTATGTTCTACAGTATGTTAGTTTGATTAAATTCCGCTTCTTATACGTTTAAGTTATCTAAAAATAGGCAAAAAATTAACAAATTTTAGTGTGTATCTATCCTTGAATTTTCAGAATAATTTAAAAGAAAATATTTTCTATAAAGGGGGGTTCTTTAAAAAAATCAATGCGGGCACTTATTCCCAATGCGGGCATTTATTGGTCAGACACCAATAAACATAAAATAAACTATAAATAAAATAACATAAGCAATAAATCAATATTTTTAGTGAGAAGGATGAACCTGATGCTTTAATAATAAATTATCAACATTTGGCGTCAATTTTGTAAGGGTTAATCTTAAATCTCCTCGGCTAATGATGTCCAGTCTGTTTCTTTTTTTCGTTAGGAGATTGGTAACAGCGCTGAACTCCCTTTCCACTAGGTATGACGCTGGAAAGGAATTTAAAAATTTCCTCGCTATAGTCCATAATACGGGATAAGTAACGGGTATGTTGTTTTGCAGCCAGAATTGCTGATATCCGTTTTTAAACTGAACCTTAAGTTCTTCGTTTGTACTTAGTTCAGTCAGTTCCTCTTGTATTATGACATTCGTTTCTTCTATGTCACCATATGGATTAATTATCCACGGTGGTATTACCATAGTCAAAATATCCTCAAACCTAGATTCAAAATCTGAATAGAGGGCATTTAAATGTTGAACGTAAGTTGAAACGTCGTCTTCCTGGCAGCTTGTCTGTGACAAATTGGGGAACTGAGAAAATTCGCCACGTCCAATATTTTGCTTCATTAGTTTAACTCTGGCAAGAAACGCTGATAAGATGGACTTTGTTTTAATCAAATTTAAACTGTCGCCTTGAAATTGCAAATTAACCATATTAAATTTTGTAAACAAATCTGTTAAATAGGCGATGTCTGTTTTCCTCTTCATTAAATTTTCTTTTAAAATTTTATCTTTAGTATCCAGAAATTCTAAAATTGCCTTTCGACAGCCGGCGTACTTCAGTGTGAAGGAGTAATTGATGGAAGTGTTCGTCATTTTCTTCACACAACTGCGCAAATAACCGCGTATTCAATGCGCTGCTTCGGATTCGGTTTACTGCATGAATGACTAAATGAAGTGATTCATGCAATCTAACACTCAAATTTTTACCAACTAAATGTTGTCGATGGATGACGCAATGTATTGCTAACACCCCTGACTCATTTTGTTTTAAATAGCTTATAAATCCACGATAACGTATAACCATGGCAGGTGCTCCATCTGTAGCTACTGATATTATATTTGATAAAGGAATTGCTTTTTCAATGAAGTAATCCTTCAAAACATGAAATATTGACTCACCTTTAGTGTCGGTTATCAAAGTTCTTGCGAAGAGCAGTTCTTCGTAGATTTCTTGATTCATAATAAAACGAACATATGCCAATAATAATGCTGCATTATCAGGTAAAGTTGACTCGCCCAGTTGTATAGAGAAATGGATCGTTTGCAAATAATTACATAAGAAGCTTTCAATATCAGAACTCATTTCATCAGTACGTCTTTTAACAGTATTGTTGCTTAAGGGAATTCTTTTAATGATATCAGATGCAGGTTTGTATAAAACAGTTTTTAAAACCTCTTCAACGGCTGGAAAAATTAACTTCTCTCCGATAGTATGCGGTTTTCCGGATTTTGCTATAAGTAATGAGATATTGTAAGACGCCCGCAAACCATCATCATTTCTTTGTGACGTCGAAGCGAACATTCTGTCCAGTGTAGGTCTCTTCTGAAATTTATTTTTGAGTGTTTGAAAGTATTTCAAATCTTTCTCTGTTTTATCAGGGTGGCATCTTCTCAGATGATTTTGCAGTTTAGATGGTTTCATAGCGTCATTGCCCAAAACTTTGTCGCATAAAAGGCACATAGGCGATTGTTTGTCCGGCAATGATGGAATAAAGCCAAATTTCAAATAATCAACACTGTACTGTCTACATTTCTTTTTAGATTCGGACATGGCATCAGTCATCTGTGGGCAAAATTAAATTATTTAAATAAGACAGAAAATCCAGCAGCTGTATATTAAAATATTTTTTAATTTAATTCGAACATCTTCTTGCAACAATTAGCTCGAATTACGGAGATTGCACTGTAATTATATTACCGATTGCTAAAACTTTCAAAAAGAAACTATTGAGGAGTACTCGTGTAATTTTACATGATTGAATATTTAACTACTAATAACTAAAGTCATGATTGGCGTAATTTATCTATCTTTGCTAACTACGAGTACAAAACTAAAATTTAATAAAAAATAATGTACTTACTTTTCTCCAGCACTCTCAAACAAAATAACACTGACTCACTATAATTTGTGTGATATACTATCTGTTTATACTTTTTAAAATATTTTCTTAGCACTTTCCTTTTCAAGATTCAGGAAACGAATAAACGTATTTGTCCCACATTCGTATTTATAGAGTGACGAATTGCTTTTCCCAGGGTGTCTTATAAATGTCCGCATGTTTCCACACCTAAGCTATGCAGTCGGTTATCTACCAAAACAAAGAAATTAATGATGATGGATCCCTCGAGCACTAAAAACTCCGGACGTAAACTCACTCCACTCTCGGAATGTCCGGGTGGAGGGTGGGCTCGAGGGAACAACATCGAAGATAAAATTTGTTTTTCGAACATCTGCGGGATCAACAGCAACATTGATGCTGTTCATCACTACCTGCAATCCAATCGTCCCGCCGTGCTTTTCTTGGCGGAGACAAAAATCTCAGAGGCTGCACCGATTAACCATCTCAACTTCCCAAACTACGAGGTGCACTCCAATCTGAGGAAGAACGGGGGAGTTGTGGCTTTTGTCCGCAGCAGTCTTTCCTGCTCCAGGGATCTCTCTTTGGAATCAGACCGGAAGGACATTCTGTGGCTTCGCCTCAACTCCAAAACATCACCCAAATTTATTTGCTGCCTTTATCGCTCTCCCTCGAACCATAACTGGGATGACCTACTCGAATACCTCGCCGTCCAGATCGACTTCCTGAACATCAATCACCCCGCTTCAGAGGTAGTTCTTCTCGGTGATTTCAATGCCCATAATGAGCTTTGGTTGGGCTCAAATAAGACCGATGCAGCAGGTCGTGCAGTCGAAGCGTTCGCTGTTACTCAAGGGCTGACCCAGCTCGTGACGAGCCCTACTTTTTTCCCCCGCGTCTCGTCACACGCCAGTAGCCTGCTGGATCTCTTTCTGACCACGCATCCTGCCCCTTACAGCACTGCCGTCCTGTCCCCCTTGGGTAACTCAGATCACGGTGTTGTGGAGGTTAGGTTTCGGTCAGAAGCCGCTGTGGCCGCAGAAACTCGCACAGGCCGCAAAACTTGGCATTACGGACATGCCGACTGGGAGGGGCTCAGAGACTTCTTCTCTAGCTTTCCTTGGAGAAATGTCTGTTTCACTGACGCGGATGCGTCGACTGTCTGTTCTTCAATAACCGAAATTATCCACGTCGGAATGGAGGAATACATCCCTCACACAGTGAAAGTTCCTAAACCAGGGTCCAACGGCTGGTTCAACAAATCATGTGACACTGCTCGCCAGCAGAAGATCAAGGCCCACAGAACCTACTTACAAAACCCCACTGTAGAGAACAGACAAGCCGACGTCGAGTCCAGAAACAAATATAACGAAGCGGTTCGCAATGCCAAAACCCAGCATGATATAAAAGTTAGGCACAGGGTAATGTCGCAGCGCAATGGCAGTCGGTCGTTCTGGACGCTGGCCAAGCAGATTGAAAAGAACTTCTCACACAGTAGCCTTACACCACTTACGTGTCAGGATGGAACTATTGTATTCGACTCAAAGGCCAAGGCGGAAGTGCTAGCCAAGATCTTTGCTGCCAACTCCACCATGGACGTCCCCACCAACGCCCAAGTGCCGTCAATTCAAAGGGTTCCCCACACTATGCGGGAGGTAACATTCAGGCATAAGACCGTAAGACGAGTGCTCTTGTCGCTCGACATCAACAAAGCTTCTGGTCCGGACTTGATTCCTGCCATTGTACTGAAGAGATGTGCAGCTGAGCTTGCTCCAGTTCTTTCGCGTCTCTTCCAGATATCTTATGAATCCGGCACCTTCCCAGAAAACTGGAAATTTGCTCATGTACAGCCCATCCCAAAAAAAGGATCTAAAACCGACCCTTACAACTACAGGCCTATAGCTCTGCTTTCTGTTATAAGTAAAGTGATGGAGAGGTGCATAAATCGCGAGCTTCTGGACTACCTCGAACGTCACAGCTTGATTAGCGACAGGCAGTACGGTTTCCGGCACCAACGATCCACAGGGGACCTCCTAACTTACGTCACGCAACTGTGGAGTAAACTCATCTAGTCTCATGGTGAGGCTCATGTCGTTGCTCTTGACATCACGAAAGCGTTCGATCAGCTGTGGCACGCTGCCCTCTTGAGCAAACTTCCATCCTACGGCCTCCCAGAAAAGCTTTGCAGATGGGTGGCTGACTTTATCTCTGGCCGCAAGATATCCGTCGTAATTGACGGATTCTCCTCTTCATCCCACAACGTCAACGCGGGTGTTCCCCAGGGATCGGTCTTGGCTCCAACACTGTTTCTCTTACATATCAACGACCTCCTTTCCTGCACGATCAACCCAATCCACAGCTTCGCTGATGACAGCACTCTACATGCAGGAATTCAGAGTGACAAGCCGATCTCTGCCGCTGAGCTGGAAAAAAGAAGACTAGCGACGACTTCTTCTCTGACAAGAGACCTGGAGGCTATCACTGCTTGGGGACGCAACAATCTTGTACAGTTCAATGCTTCCAAAACACAGTACTGTACTTTGACGAACAAAAAGCGTCCTAGCGCTCACACAGTTTCGATGGACGGTCGAGTCCTACCAAAGAGCCATTCATTTCGGCTGGTCGGAGTCCAGATCACCGAGGACCTGATCTGGCACGAACACATCTCTTCAATAGCTGCAGCTGCTGGAAAAAAGCTAGGCTATTTGTTTAGGGCTAAGAAGTACTTTTCTCCGCATGACCTTCTCACTCTATACAAGGCCCAGATAAGGCCTAGCCTCGAGTATTGCTCACACATTTGGGGTGCTGCCGCCCCGACTACATTGTCCATGCTCGATGCTGTCCAGAGGAGGGCGGTCCGACTGATCGATGACTCTTCTCTAACAGACAGTCTCGGGACTCTTTCGCACCGGCGGGCCGTCGGCGATCTAGCTCTTTTCTATCGCTACACCAACGGGCTTTGCTCCTCAGAGCTCTCTTCCATGATGCCGCCGCGCGATGTGCCTGCCAGACAGACCCGCCTGACTTCGGCGTCCCATCCTAACCGTGTCAAACTTCGTACATCCAGAACTGGCCGATACGACCGCTCCTTTGTCCCGAGGGTGTCTAGATTGTGGAACAAACTACGGGAGGAAGCTTTTCCCAGTTCTACTAACCTTAGGCAGTTCAAAAATCGTATTAACAAAATTTCTTTGGGATCATTATAGCAGCCGCGGTGTTCCGGCATTTAGGCTTCTGCCTGCGCGGCTGTTTCGATATAAAAAAAAAAAAAAAAAAAAAACAAGTCAGTGCAAGGTAGTGAAGCTCTGAGACTGCGACTCTCAGGTTTTTACAAGTTCAAAATGTATTGCGACCACAAAGCGAATACCAACATCCTACAACTTACACAATTTTATAAACATATATAATAAATTTTTTACTTCATAGGTACTTTTATAAATAATGTATATGTTTTGATATTATAAGATAGTATGATGTAAGTAAATAGGTACTATCAGTGTATGTGTTGAGATCCACTATCGTGGACCCCCATATTCATTTAATGGACCCCCAAATTTTTTTTCGCTGACGTAGACCCCTTGCAGGTTGTCATAGACCCCTAGGGATCGATATAGACCACTTTGGGAATCAATGACATAGACCTTTGTACATTATTGTTTTCATTGTACTCTTCATATTTGTTTTATTTACATGGAAATGAGTACACGTCCTAGTGTTATATGAATGGATCTCATTATTTGGGCGTAGATGCGCACCTAAATAATTCTAAAATTCTCAATTTTATAAATAAATAGCATTGCTTTTAAATAAAGATGTTGATTCACCGATAACCACTGTTGAGTATCCAGCATATATTCAATTCTTGTGTACCTAGAGCACTGTAAAATTATCCGCATTCCCCTATTTTGAAGTTTTTGTAAGGTGCCTATTTTGTTCTTGCTAAAGAAATATAATAAAGATGAACAGTACTGCAAATGAGGTTTTATTGTAAACCGTGATTCTTGCAAACATTGATAGCTGTTTAGAAACTCTTGAAAAAAAATAAAGTTTCTTTGAAATTTTCTTAATAATATAGTCACTATGGCTGTTAAAGTATAGGTTTTTATCCAACATAAATCTAAGGTATTTCATTGTATCAACTATATCAAAAACTGTCTTTTGAATTTTAATTTGGATATTAGCTTTTATTATATTCTTGTTTTTACTTCTGCTGGATATTACCATTGCTTTTGATTTTTGAGTGTTCAACTTCAATTTGTTCATTTTTAAATATGCATGAAGGTTTGCAAGGTCACTGTTCACAATATCGATAGCCTCATTCAGGCTTTTGCAGGCTGAGTACACAAGTGTGTCATCGGCAAATAGATTTATGGAGCTACTTCTCTGAACAAGTTCCATATCATTCAAATATATTATAAAAAATAATGGCCCCAAAACACTACCCTGGGGAACTCTAAA